GTACCATCGATGAAATTGATACTTGTGTCTCTGATGAAGTGATTCAATTTCTCTTTTGTGCTTAACAGGAATGTTACTCATGACATCAAAATATTCAACTTTATTTAACATATTGGGATCAGAGAGTGTATTGCCCGAAGTAGATGAGGGGTTTGCATTTTCCTCAAAGTATCGTTCGTATACTCCTGGCTCGTCTAAAGAGTTAGACGTCGACAATAGCTTTCCTTGTAGATTTGAAGAGGACGGCAGTGACCGTACGGATTTGGCCCTTGAAAGTTTTGGGGATGACGACTGTGACTGTACGGAGTAAGTCCTTGGGCGCTTTGGAGATAACGACTTTGACCGTACGTAGTTAGTCCTTGGTCGTGAAGGAACGAGCACATAGACTGCTGGTATTTCATCGCTACCCGATTCTATATCATCAATAACTGGCGGGAACCTTCTCAATGATTCCTCAAAATTCTCTTCAGAGTCAGAGTCATCAGTCTCATTTCTACATCGTAAAAATCTACTGGTTAAATTTCCTTTGCTTTTTTTGTTGTCCGTGAATACTAGGGAATCTGTATTTGATTGAGTTCTTCTTTCTTTGACTCTTTCAGCAATATTCATTGTTCGAGAAGAATGTTTTGCAATATATTTACTTGGGAACAATGATGGATTTCGTTTTAAGAAAAATTCCACAATTGAGGAGATAGTCACATTTAACATGCGACGCGACGAGTAGGTAAAATTTTCCTGTGTAACTGTTACACGGTGGTTGAAGTAACATACGCGCACGACACGAAGTTTAAGACCGATAATTTTCGCGTAATCGATCACTTGACTGATCGGGTGTAAAATTTTATATACAATTTGGTTTTTTTTTAATTAGGTAAACATTATTGTTTTAATGCTAGCTTTTAAGTAATCCATTTAGGTGATATAGAAAAACAAATATTAAAATTAATACTTGTTAAAGATAATAAAAAATTTTCTTAGATAAAGATTATTTTTTTTTGCCTCTAATCAGACTGCAATTCTGTGTATTTATTAATCTTATAAAAAAACAATAATATATTATACCCTAAGGTATTATTAAAGCTAAACTGTACATATTGCAGAATACTTATTAACAAGTTATTTGTAAATTTGTATATGATTATTAAATTCTTAATATCAAGATCACTATATTATTCACATGATTTAGCTATTTACTAACTATTTTATTACAAGGGAATAGGTTCATTAAGTCATTACTGCATAATATTAACTATCTTAGACTTTTCAAATATTAACTCTCTAAGTATATATGTAAGAAATAATAAAATTGTTTCTTTTTCAAACCTATTTTTTGGTCTTAAAAAATCATAACCAGTCTACATTCAAATTGTTACTTAACAAATCTATAATTTTAAAAGATACAAAAATTTTTTTATTTTTTAAGAAAATAAAAAAAATATTTGAAAATTTTATTTTAATAAATAAAAAATTTCCAAAATTAATTTTAATCTATTGAAATAAATTCTTTATTACTATTTGCAATTAAGCAAATTATTTAATTTTCATTATTCCATTGTCAACCAAGAATGTTCAAAATACTTATAACAAGATTTACAATAGAAATTATTGCTTAAAAAGTCTTATCATCTATAGTTTGATACTTTTTTGAAATAATTATTAACAGAAAAAGTTTTTTATTAAATTGAAATAAAACTTTTTTTAATTTTAAAGAAAAAAAAAATTAATTCAAAAGGAGAAAGAGAAATACTATACCACTTTTTAATAAGACAAATATCTTGTTATCTTATTCTTTTCACTATATTTAATAGTATTATTAAATTTTATATTATATAAGATTAAACATATAAGATATAATATTTTTTTTTTTTTTTTAGTAGATAAATATCATTTCTTTATTTGATTTGTATATGTCAAGGTATACATCGTGAAAGAAACAACATCTCCCATATGCTATTGTGATAAGTTAAATGCTAGCTTGCCTACAGCAACTACTTGACTAATATTGAAAAGAAAATTTAAAA